GAGTAAGTAGGCACACATTACATACTAACTGAAGGAGCCGACCCTGCCAGGGTGAGCATTTAATTATCTCCCCCCAACCCCCAGGGTTTTAAGGATGATTCCAATGGTCTTAGTGGAAGATTCCAGAATAAGATGGGCATCCATGCCCTTCAAAATGATCAAGAGGGAACTCCCAATTTTAGTGAGCACTTTCTGCTCTGACAGAATATACTTGCTGGTCACACATGAGTTTTCCTGAATGCTTGCAGTGAATGCCCTTCTCTGTCTCATAATAGAGTCCCTTACTGCCTTCAAGGCCCAGCTCATGCCTTTGCCGATGCCCTCCCTACCCTTACAGCTATTAGTGGCCTCCATCCTAAACTAGTAGAAAAAAATGATTTTTTCACATATTTATTTATGTGCTTGTTGTCATAGAATGGAAACACCTATTTCATTTTTTCTTTGTACTACCAGCACCTAGCACAATGGCTGGTCCAAGGAAAGCATTTACTAGATGTTTGGGGATAGGGGTTTAATTTTAATATTTAAGTCTGAACTTTAACACCAATAAAGGACATTTTTATACACACACACACACACACACACACACACACACACCCAGGGATTGAAGGGTTACTTTGAGATCAAAGTGGCCAGACAAAATAATGAGTGAGTGTAGTGGCTTCTAATGCTGTGTGTCAAGTCCCTGGCCTCGTCTGAGCTGTTCAGCTTTACAACCTCATCAGTAGATCTTCAAAGAGTTGTCACTGCAAACTCACTGTGTAGGCCCTGGAGCCCCAAAGCCCCCAACCCTGTGAAAATGCTGGAGAACATATTTCCCCTCTCTGACCTGCAAAAACCTTTTCCTCCCTGGACCCTATGCTTCCCTCATACCTGTTTGTTTTTCATTTTTAAATATTTCCCTTGGTTTCTGTCCAATCAATCCAAAAAGAGGACTGGACAAATTCTCAGGTTAAGCATTCATACCTCAGAAATCAGAATGAATGCACAAATTAGGGCTTGATTTATTGTTAATTGTCTAGATTTAAGAAAATGATGGAGAAAATATTAATAATGCAGATTTAACTTAAAGTGTGTTGTTATGAACATTTCCCCAAAGTATTTACCAGTTGTTACACATTTACCATAATGCTCCTGATGGTATGTAAAATTGGGCATCTATTTTATAACTTTTGCTTTAAAAACATTATATAATAAATTCTACACATTACTTTCAAAAATGTCTTGCTTATTTGAGTTTCCTTCTGTATTTCCTTCTGTTCTCATCTGTGTGTATTTTTTAAAGTTTCAGTGGCTCTTGGTTTTTTTTTTGTATCCCTATTACTAACCCCACCTTTCCCCTCCAAAATTCCCCTCCCCATTAAAAACTAAAAGAAAGGGAAAAAAGCCTTTTAAAAAATCATATAGTTAAGCAAAATGAATCCACACAATAACCATGTCCAAAAACATACATCCCTTCTGTGCCTTGAATCCATCACCTGTCTTTCAGGAGATGTGTAGATGTGTACACTTCAGCATAGCATCCCTGGAGACATGGCCAGGTCACTGCTTTGATCAGAGTTCTTACATCTTTCAAGGTTGTTTTTCTCTACAATGTTGTGTTCTTGTAAAAACTTGTTCTGCTCTAAGAAATTCTTGTTGATTGATTGATTAGCTCTCCCAAGGGGTCTTATTATCACTTCTCAAATAGCTGCTTCAGTAGGGAGTTGGCAACAATCACTATTCTTTGTATAACCAACCCTTCCCGGATTCCATCTCACCTGAGAGAGATGTTTGTAGTGGAGGGAGCAGACTGGTAATCCACACCTCAGTTAAGGACTGAAAAAGTAGAGGGAGGCTGGCATTAGACTGAGATCAGAGACTGCCAATGTAGTCTTCATTGCAGGATTGTCTAAGACTTTGTGACTTTACCCAGTGAGGTGTGGTTATCCCAGCCAGAAAGGATTCTGAGCTACCTAGAGGAACCTAGTTCCACCCAGGCTTTAGCGTTGTTGTACTTAGCTCAGGAATTATCAATTAATCTATCAATCAATAAGTATCTATTAAGCACTTACTATGTGCCGGGCAATGCACTGAGCCCTGCGATGCAAAGAAAAAGTGAAAAGTCTTTACCCTCAAGAAGCTTACATTCTAATGGGATAGATAACATTTACATAAATAGGTATAGTCAATATACATATAAAGTAGATAGAGAAAAAGAGCTAGAAGCCAGAGAAACTAGGAAAGGCCTGCTACTGAAGGTGGCATGGGAGCTGAGTTTACAGGTTGCCAAAGGGTCTAAGAGGCAGAGGTGGAGAGGGAGCACATTCCAGGCATGAGGGACAGCCATTACAAAGCTGGGTAGGTTCATAGATTTAAAGCTGGGGGGTGAGAGAGAGGAGAATCCCAGAGGCCATCCAGTCCAATCTTTGTATTTTATTTCTTTAAATTACGTTACATTTTATTTTCAACCGACATTTATTTTCTCTTTCTCTCATTCCCTCAAATTTAAAAGAAAAAAGTTGAAGCAAAATCCTTATAACACATGTGCATAGTCAAGTAAAACAGATTTCCACATAGTTCAAAAACTGTCTGTCTCCCTCTACATCTTGAATCTATCACCTCTCTGTTAGGAGGTGTGTAGCATAGCTCATCATTAGTTTCCTGGAATCATTAACCCTTGCATCTTTAGTCAGTTGACCAAGGTCACCCAGTGTTAAGTAGTAGAACCAAGATTCTAACCCAGACTCTATTACTCTGAATCCACCATATTGTTTCCAGATCCTCTAAGTGTACTATAGGTTAGGGAGGCAGCACTATATGGTCACAAAAACACCGAGTCTAGAATTAGGAGATCTAGCTTCGGCAGTCACCCAACATACAACTTCAGACCATTTAACTACTCTGGGTATCAAGTTCCTTGTCTGTAAAATGAGAACATTAAATTATAGACTATCTAAGTTTATCCCAACCCTTAAAAATCTTATGAGAAAATCTTCCACCATCAGAACAGGACCAGATGGCTATAACCTCCCCATGCCCTCATATTTATCTCTGTCCAATTGATTTCCTTGGGTCAGTGTCCAGGCAGAGGTAGGGAACCCTAAATGCGTGTTGGTCCTGGGAGACTTGTAATGGGGCATGCCCCTAGGGCCTTGATGCCATGGACTAACTTGTGCAGATAATTAGATTTTTCCCAATGTTATGAAGTACTAAAATCATAGGATTATAGGATAGACTTTTTTAAGCATTTATTAAGCACTTAACTATGTGGTAGGAACTGTGATGAGTTCTTGGGAAACAGATACAAGCAAACAAAACCATCCCTGCCCTATAAGAGCTTACATTCTAATGGTGAAAGACAATGCATAATGGGAAGTTGGAAAAGTGGGTACAGGTGGATACACAGTGACATGGCATGGAACAGTCAGAGAGTTAGGGCTGGAATGGACCTTAGAAGTCACTGAGCTCAATTCCCTTGTGTTATAGACTAGGAAACTGAGGCACAGAGCATAGAAGTGATTCACCCTGGGTAAGATGATCAATAGACCCTGAGGGAGGCAAGATTTGAATTTAGGTCTTACTGCCTCGAGTCCAGTGTTCTCTCCACTATACCATACTGCCTCTAGTCAACCAGGTGAAGAAGACCCTGCTTTCTATAACAATTGTTGATATTTGTTTGGGACGGAAGGTGAGGCTCTAAGCCTCTTTCTACTTCCTAATGGACAGAGATGCATAAGCACCTTCCACAAATGGTTTTTCTTGATTTCAGGAGCCCTGGAAGCATTTTGGCAATACAAGCTAATCTTATGTTACTTCCCTACTGCCCCAATCATTTTAATTAATTTTAACTGTGCAAAATATGGGCAGCTGAGTGGATAGAGCACTGGGTTTGGAGTCACAAAGATGCAAGTTCAAATCTGGCCTTGGACACTTACTAGCTCTTTAATCCTGGTCTCCATTTGCCTCAGTTTCCTCGGTAAAATGAGCCAGAGAAGAAAATGGCAAACTACTCCAGTAGCTGTGCCAAGAAAACCCCAAATGGAGTCACAAAGAGTTGGACACAACTGGAAAAAAATTTTTTTGGAGGCAGCTCAGTGGCTCAGTGGATACAGCACTGGACTTGAGTCAGGAAGACCTGAGTTCAAATCCAGCTTCAGACACTTACTAGCTATGTGAACTTAAATAAGACAGCTATAATCCACTGGAAAAGGAAATGGTAAACCACTCCAGTATCTTTTCCAAGAAAACTCCACATGGAAAGCACTGGCGTGCTATGGTCCACAAGGTCACAAAGCTTTGGACCCAACTGAAGGACTGAACAACAACAAAAATAATGGGAATGCACTCAAGAACAAATTGACCAAACTTAAGTATGCGTACATCATTTTCAACTCCACCCACACATGTACACTGTGAACACAAACATGATATTAGACAACAAAATGAATAATTATTCTCTTTTCCTGCCCCTCCACCCCCACCCCACACCTCTGTCAAGCTTCTGTGATGCGATGTGACGGCCAAGTCAGTGACTCAGAACCCAGAATTACAGCTTTCAAGTTAGAAAAGACCTTAAAAACAATCTCATCCAACACTCTCATTTTACAGATGAGGAAACCAAGCCTCAGAGGTGAAGGACTTGCCCAAGTTCATAGAGTCAGTAAGTGGCAAAGCTAGGTTTTGAACCCGGGTCTTCTGTCAATAATATGTGGTTAGAATCGGAAGAGAGGTGGTTTCCATGAGTAATATCTCGAACAGTCTCATCCCCTAAGCAGGCATGCCTTATCACACTGGCACACACCTCCCTTCACCCTCCTTCCCTCCACCCTTAAGCCAACTCAATAGAATTTATAATGGCCAGCGCAGAATTTTAAGTGTTTGAGGTGCCTGCCTCCCCTCCTCCTTTCCAGCTGATCCCAAACAGTAGGCTGATTGTTTAGAGAAGTTTGCACTGTTCTTTGCCAGAGCTGTTTGCCTGAGGTTCGCCCAATGGCAAAGACCAGGGTCCTCCCACTTACCTCAGCTCTGGGTTTACTGTCCTTATATAAGTGAAGCATCTCCCCAGCATGATTTCTTTCAAGTTGTCTGTGGATCCTCTTCCCTTCCACTGTAGCAACTCAGCTGGTGGGTCCCTCCTGCGGGCAAAGATCACAGCAGCAAAGACCACAACAGCCCCAAGGATGAGGATGACTGTGAGTCCCAGCAGGAGGCACCTACATTTCTGACCCCAGTGTAAGCTGCTTTCTCTGACCATGGTGAGGAAAAGAAAGGTAAGTGAAGCAGAGTCTCTGGCAGTAAATGGGGAAAGGAAGGATTAAGCAATTTGGCCAATGTGAAACTGCACCTCTGCCTTATCTCTTCTACGTTCCTCTTCCCTTCTCTCCAGCCCCTCCTCTCCTTCTTTTAAAGGCTCTGGTTTACTGGCCAGCAGCCCTGATCTAAACAAACAGGAGTCAAGAATTCCCACGATCACAAGCAAATTGAATAAGTCTCCTCCTCCTTTTTTTTTTCTTCTTAAAACACCACTGAACCTCAAGAAAAGTCAACAGCAAATGGCAAAAGTGAAAATTCGCATTGAGGAGAACTAGGCTCCTAAAGTCTTACATCCGAGGAACTTGGGGTGCTTGGCAAAGATCCCCCTCCTCATTTCACAGCAGGGGCAAAGCATAGGACTATAGCACTAAGATTAGAACTCAGGGAGCTCACCTGCTGCTCCAGTTCCCTCTCCAGTCCACCCTGCTTCTCCCTTCCTTCTTCAGTTCCTGTTCCTAAATTTGCATTTTTCACATGTAACTTCTTCTTTGCTATAGAATTCCTCATCACCACCAGTTAGTTGTCAAATATCCTCAAAAAATACAGCCCTGTAAATGATGTTTGATTTTTGACACCCAGACCCATGAAAGATAGGAAGCAGCACCTTTAAATTTTAATTCAACAAGTATTTGTTGGGCACTCTCTGTTTCTGTGCCAGGTGTCTTGTGCACAGCAAAGCACTTAATGAGTGTTGTGCTGAATTGCTTAGGTTGATTGAAGCAATATGGGACCTAATTAAATATTTAAATTAGTATGGGATCACATTGATTTGAAAATTCTCTCCAATGATACAAATTGAAAGTACAAAAAGAAATTTGAAATACGGCCCTTGAGCCCTGTCCTATGAATTAGAACCAGCATGGATCTGTACTTTGTTTCTCATACATTCACCATTGACCTCTCCTGACTGTCATCTGAATACTTCAAGAATCTATGATTTCATCATCATGGGTGCATTCACCCAAGCATACTGCTGCCCCTCTAGAACTCAGTAGAGTGTCTTCAAAAATTTCTATGTGCTAGATGGTGCAGTGGATAGAGCACCAGCTCTGGAATCAGTAGGACTTGAGTTCAAATCTGACCTCAGACACATAAAAACTCACTAGCTGTGTGACTCTGGGCAAGTCATTTAACCCCAATTGCCTCACTAAAAAAAAAAAAAAGGTTGCTATGTGGCACAGAATTTTACCCCCACCCTGTGGTCAAACTGGTTATGAGCCTTTCCAACATAGCTTGACTAAATTGTTATACGACAGTTATAATTCAACTGATTATCTGACTGCAAGCCATTCCATCTTGGTGGGACGTACCAGAAGTGAGATTCCATTGGCAGAACTTTTGAGAATCCACAATTTACTCCCACTATGATGCAGCAGTGGAGGAAGACCATCAAACTGTTAGTTGCTTTAAAGCAAGAAGTAGGTTGAGATTCATTATCTGCTTATGATGTAGAAGATCATGGTTTATGCTTGTTTAGGCTGTTGCAGGCCCAACCCAAATCCTTTGAAGGAAGAGGAAAAGCGATTGGGAAGAAGGGGAGAGATGTATAAAACTAGTTCCCTTAAAAGTTAACTGGGGAAAGAACATTCTGTAGCAATAAAATCACAGATTTAAAGTTGGAAGAAACCTTAGAGATCAATAATCTAACCACTCATTTTACAATTAAGGAAACTGAGGCCCAGAGATATGAAGTGACTTGCCCAAGTCAGATAAGCTAATAATTAGAAGAGCCAGAATTGGAGCCTAAGGAGAGAGGGAGAAAGTGGAAAATGTCAAAATTTTGAGAGTCATCACTTTCTACACCAGCACAATCACAGTCAATTTAGTTCCTTGAAACAGCTGTAAAAATAGCCAGACAAAAATAAATGAAAATGAAAAAAATGAAAAATAGCTAGACCACCATACTATCACTCAACTAGCATTTATTAAGTATCTACTAATGCCCAGCACTGTGTCTTTCTTGTATCCCCAGTTCTTAGCCTAGTGTTTAGCACATAGTAGGTGCTTAATGAATGTGTGTCAACTTGCACATAGTAGGTCTTAATAAATGCTTGTTGGTTGTCTGTACGGGTCTCTGGGGTAATAAGTTCAAAAAATGAGACAATTCCTATTCAAAAAGGAACTTACATTCTATTAGGGAAAACGAGTACACACTCTAAGACTCTAAGTTGAAGATGAGATACCCACTTTGACTGGATAAAGAGAATTTCTTTACCAAGGAGTTCCCTGTACTAGTAAAATCACAGGTTCTGTTCCTAATCCCTATGGGCCAGTTGAAGTGGATATCAATACAAAAGAAAAACAATCCCTGCCGTCAAGGAAATTATCTGCCACTTTTGATGTCTTATGTGAACAGAAAGTAAATGTCAACTATATACAAAGTAAATACAAAATGATCTGGGGAGTTAGCAAGGATTTGAAGTGCTTGGCACTTGACCTAAGCCATGAAGGGAGGTAGAAGCCTGGGTCTAAGACCAAGAGCATGGACCTATCATTTATCTAAACGTGAGAGGGGATGCCCTCTCTGCCTTCTCTCTCTAGACCAAAGTTCATCTTCCCCTCAGCCATCACCATATCACCCTCCCCGAACTGCTCAAGAAATTCCATGGGCTTCCTGTTAGTTCCAGGATCAAACAGAAAATCCTCTATTTGGCTTTTATAGCCTCTCATAACCTAGCTCCTTCCTACATTTCACATCTTCTCTCACTTGACTCCGCTCCACATACTCTATGATCCAGTAAACAGCATGAGAAAAGGCAAGAAGGTGGGAATCAGTGTGTTGTGTTCGGGAGTTGGTGAAGAAACTGATAAAAGACAACGTTGATGGAAAACATACTCTTCCTGAATTCAGGCGGACCAACTTAGAATCCTATCTCTGTTACTTATTAGCTGTGGAACAGGTTACTTATCTCTTTGAGTCTCAATGCACACATTTGCAAAAACAAAAATAAAATGTACCACCTGAGTCAGAAATTGGGGGAAAAGCACTTTGTAAACACTAAAGGCTTTCGCTATGGCAATATGATCTATAGTTTGTACAACCTTGGTATAAGAGGCTCTTTCCTAACACAAAAGACCCAGGGGATATACATCTCCAGCTACTGAGTACTGAATTTAAAAAATGTGGTTCTGCTATGCTAAGGAAGCACTTCTTGCAGCATTACTAACCAGGATCCACCACCCTATTATCTAGCACAGAGCCTGGCACACAAGAGTTTGTTGACTTGACTATTAAATACCAGCCGTGTTTTAAAGCTCAGTAATAGATTCTCTGGGGGACAAAAAGTTAACTGTGTTTTACTCTGAAAAGTTTTCTCTTTCTCAGTAAGGTCCACTGATGGTTCTGTGCTAAATGAAAGACAGAAGATCTCCAACTTTAATTGAACCCTACAAAACATTGACCCTTCTCTCCCTCTCAAGCCCCCAGAAGCACACACTTTGTCTGTATTCATCTTCTTTATCAATTTAGTGGAAGAAGAAAGGGCCCTGCTCCACATTCTAGAAACATAACTTCCATTAGGATGCCGTGGATAGAGCATTGGGCTTAGAATCAGAAAGATTTATCTTCATGATTTCAAATCTGGTCTCAGACACTTAGTAGCTGTGTGACCCTGGGTAAGTCACTTAACCTCATTTGCCTCAGTTTCCTCAAATGTAAAATGAGCTGGAGAAGAAAAGGGCAAACCACTCCAGAATCTTTGCCAAGAAAGCTCCAAATGGGATCACAAAGAGTTGGACATGACTGAAAAAAAGACTGAATAACAACAATAAAGGATCTCAGGAAGTAAGCTCATGATGTACAGGCAGCTCATTCAGTATTGTGAGTTGAAGGTAAATGGTTGCTGGCAGTGTCAGGGAATATTTCACACACACTCTGGGCAGATGTTTGCTTTTCAGATATTTTGAACTTTAGCTACAGAGATGAGTCAGTGACAAGTAAATATTTCTGTCACTTCCTCAGGTTATGTTCTTTCAGCCTTTGAAATATGTTACCTTTATCATGCCCTTTGAGACAAAGTCCTACAAAATTAGAAATTTTACATCAGGCAGTGTTCTATAGCATCATGCTCTAGCCCTGGGATCCTTAACCTATAGTCCATGAACTTGTTTTTGTATGTGTGTGTGTGTGTGTGTGTGTAATATATGTGTGTATATGTATATACATACATGTGTATACACATATGTGTGTATGATTTCTGTATATGTATACACACATATGAAAACACTAGTTCATGGAATCCAGGTTAAGAGTCCCAGGGCTAGAAAATGATGCTATACAACAATGTTTATTTATTAATGTACATTGTTGCTCAGTCACTTTTCAGTTGTGTACTACTCTTCATGACCCCCTTTGGGGTTTTCTTGGCAAAGATAGTGAAGCAATTTCTCATTTCCTTCTCCAGCTCATTTTACAGATGAAGATACTGAGGCAAACAGGGTTAAGTGACTTTCCCAAGGTCACTCAGTGAGTAAGTGTCTGAGGCCAGATTTGAATGCAGGAAGAGGAATCTTCCTGCCTCTAGGCCCACCTAGCTGTCCACATTTATGTATACATATATACTTTGTACATGTGTGTATATATATATAAAATATATGTATGTATGTATACATATATAGCCATAAAATAACTATATTTTAACATGATTTTTTAAAATTCTATGTATTTTATGCTTTTAAAAACATTGTTCTGCTGATCCAACCATTCTGGAGAGCAATTTGGAATTATGTCCAAAGGGCAATCAACCTACGCATACCCTTTGACCCAGCAATACCACTACTAAATCTGTATCCCAAATATATCCCAAAATAAAGTACTTAAATGTACAAAAATATTTATAGCAGCTCTTTTGTGGTGACAAAGAATTGGAATTTAAGAGGATGTCCATCAGTTAGGAAGTGGTTGAACAAGATGTTGTATATGAATATAATGGAGTACTATGGTTCCATAAGAAATGATGAGCAGGTGGACTTCAGAAAAACCTGGAAAGATTTACATGAACTGATGCTGAGTGAAGTGAGCAGAACCAGGAGAACATTGTACACAGTAACATCAACATTGTGCAATGATCACCTTTGATAGATTTAGCTCTTCTCAGCAAAACAATGATCTAAGATAACTCCAAAAGACTCACAATGGAAAATGCTATCCACAT